TGGGGGGGGTGAGGGAGGCTCTCTCAGTCCCACATGAGTGTGTTTCGTCAAAGTTCGGAAGAATATAGCCTCTTTACATGAATAGCTATTTGGCAACTTTCTCAAGGCATTGCTCCATTCAGGAATGGTGAGCAGTGGGTGAGCTTCACGCGTTAGGATTATTTGCGCCCGACTAACTCATTCAGACTCATTCCCACCCTTGCCACCAATTCCCCCACTAGAAGGATGAGATGAAGTGGGAAGGTATTTTGGTTCAGTGCATCCGAATCCAAAATGACTGAAAGGTAGTAGGAAAGGCTGAAATCAGGTTGAAGAGGTGTTAAAAAAACATTTGTTGGCAAATCTCTGCCCAAGTGAGCCACTCTTCACAAAATTTGAGAATCCTATTTTTGTATGAAGGAAAATAATGCAAATTTTAGATTACGGTATTCCACTTGAACTAGTGCACTAAAAGACCTCTCCTGGAGGCAGCACTTGTAGCTTATTTGATTGCACTCCAAAGTTCATCATTCAACACTGACAATCATGACTGCAAAGAGGATCGAGTAAATAAAGTTTAGAAGCTTTTTGAAGTTGATCTTCGACTTTTATTCGGAATCATAGTAGCGAATTGGATGTGTCTTCACCTGTACAATCACTCATGTACGATGGCCCGCCGATGACATACGCTTCTGTAACATCACTGGAATTCTTTAAAAAATTCCAGTGCTAGGGCGTATCCCAAAAAACAGGACCGTTCAAAGGCAAAAACTCCAACCTCCATGAATTGTCCTGCTCACTGAGAGTTCCTGATTCTCTGAAAAGTCCGCCCTTAGCCCTCTTAGCTGTCTGTCATTCCATTATATCCTTTTGTACTTTGATATAAAACTAAATATTTGTTATTCCAGCTGATAAACTCAAAGGGGTTGCAACGGATTTCAGTAGAAGCACTAATGGCACGAGAATCAATCACGAAGAAACCAATGGTATAGCTGAAATGCTCCGGAAAGTCCATCCCATGATTTGTTAATTCCAAGACGAGTTAAAACTGACAGGTGAATCTTTCATTCAAGTAATTTTTGTGAATTAATCGACTGGGCAAATGTTGAATTGATAGGTACAATTAAAGTTCTCTCGTGCCACTCGGGCGGACCTTATGCACCCACCTCATTGTGTTGCTCTAACTACACCACGACAATTGGCAAGTATATGGAAACCGGTTCGTTATTTTTCTTCAGATGCTTCAACCAGCAAAGAAACGAGGAGGTTGGTTGATCGATACAAATTTGCTTCTGATCCAGAGATTATTTGAGGCGAACATTCTTCACAGGACCAGATTTTTATACTTCTGCAATGAGAGTAAATGAGTAGATTTTTGGCAAAGAAAGAAGAAAAAAACAAAAAGCAAATAAAAAATGATGTTGAAAACAATCTAAACAACGCAGCGAATGCCGCATTTTTCGAACTTTGCTTGTTAATGTATTATTTTGAAACCTGAAGATTGGGGGTATGCACCATCACCATCCACTACTCAACGCCAACGTTCAGGCAGCTTGTCGATTCCTTCCTGACAAAAGGACGTGGGCTAGAAATTGAAGAAATCGTTGAGTGCCTTTCTGATATTATCTCTGTTTCAATCTTTTTTCCATCCAGAAAGCGCTGCAGATGGCTGAACGGCCAGTAGTCGGAAGGAGCGAAGTCAGGGCTGTAGGGGTGCTGGGCGACTAGTCGGAATGCTCGGGCGACGTCGAGCATTCCTTCATTACGTTCACTAGTTTGAAAAATTCAAATCAAATAATTGCTCCAAGGATTGTTTGTGTCCGAGGCCAATCAATTTATTCGCTGCTCTGATGGGAGCCCTTACAGTCTAGCAGTGTTTTTTCAACCTAACCGAATCGCACGAGTTCCTACTGGATTCAAATAACAGACTCTGTTTTTATCAATAATCGTCTTTGATCCTGTTACTTTCCATAGCATAGCACGGTAGTAAGGCAGTCTGTCTACCGGTCCTTCGTATCTTCACGTCTCTGTGTCAAAGTCGGCAAATGGAAATACCATCCCCCCTTCCCTTCCCCCCTTTCTCAAAGGATTCAACAGCCTAAACTTGGAGACGATACCAGAGTATGATCTTCGTTTTTCGTGAAATGAAAGCGCAATCGAAATGGATCAAGTTTGGTATATGTCGATTTCGATAAAAACTGTTAATTGCTTTGATTTTTTGATGGTCCAGGTCCAGGCAAGAGGGTCTCTTCAGCGGAGAACATAGGTCGTCCCTACCGCCCGATTTTTTCCACTTTTCCTGAAATATTCGGAAAATGAACTAGCCGAACGAATTAGCAGTCGACCTAGCGGTCTTGTTTTGTTTCTCGGAAGCCATCCTGTGACTCGGGGGCCCTACCTGTTATATGTTTGACGAAGTAGATGACTGGACCAGCGGTGCTTCAAATGTGCCATGTATTGAAGAAGGCCTTTCAAACGCTATCTCTCCTTCGGGTATAAGCTCCGCAGGATTTGGTGCTACGGCTGGATGCGACTGTTTTTAAATAAACTTTTTATAATGCACCTGTACCTAACCCCTTATTAAGACGGGAAANGTTATTCAAACAGTCACCCTTCAATTCCATACACTACGTGCGGGGCGGGTGATGATTCAGTGATTAATGTGTGATGGTTCAATGATCAAGTTCAATATTACTCTACTTTGTTCTTGTGCGTTGAATGGGAGTATTTTCCCAAATACCACTTTACTATCGTTTTATCAATATGGGAACTAAACGAATCATGTTTTTTCCCTATTTTCATCCTGCGTACGAGTCTTGTTTTCACTGTTGAATTTACTTTTTTCAATTGTCGCCCAGTGAAGTGGACCGTCTTAGTCAATTTCAATCAAGCACTGTGCCAAAAACTAGACAGTTAATCAGTCTGGAATCAGCCTTTTTCTGTGTTTTTCTTCAGACAAACATCTTGAAACCCTTAAATGACATCAATAATTCTTTTGTATTTGCTCCGATCGCCGTCGATTTCCAGTTGAATTTGTCAAGAGTTTCGTTGAGAAACCGGCTGACTGCTGAACTAGCATAACTTTTCTTCACATTCATTGGGAGCTGTTCGAACTCTGATCCAAGGCCGTTCCCTGAGGTAGCCCCAAAAACTATTAAGCGTTTGTCATATTTTCATCAGTAGTTCGGGTGGAATTGTTCATTTACCTTTGATTTTTTTTCTACTGGAATTGATGACATGGCGATCACGAGAATAGGAACCAAGCAGTTACCGGCTAGGTTTTTTACCATTTCCTCATTCTTTCAACAAATAGAATATTTATCTTTATTTCATCATTCCTGTGATATTGACGTCATACAATAGAAAAGTGCTCGAGTGCTTCATGAATGTCGACAAAAGTTCGTTTTGCATGTTGTTCAAATGAAATCCGCAGAATAACGGCTGCTCACTAGGAGGGTGTGTCATCTAACTGTTGCTTTTGATCCAAGGCCTTCCCAAGTGTAGTTGTTGCGGAGGAAAAGTTTCAAGTGGGCCAATTCTCACAGAGACTTTCAAAATCAGAAGGATAGCTTCAGGTCAGCTGATAACTACATATATGTACGTTCATTTCTGGAAAAATACCTGTCGTACATGCGACAGTGACAGCAGAGACATCGTGCCCCTCGGCCTATACTCGCTTGGTTGCGGCAGCGGATGCCTCATACCTTCTCGGACGAGTCAGTCTGGACCCGTTGCACCGTCCGCCGACATGTTGACTGTCGGTCGGTTCAGCCACGAAATGCGATGATGTTGCCCGAAGGCAAAAAGAGAACGACTTTTTCCGAATCTAATCCTTAACCTCGTTTGACCGCGGCCCTATCCTCCCTTGAACATCGCTGCGCTTGAGAGGTTCCGAAGAAGAAAGAAGCTAATGGTGCTTTGGTAGAAGCCGGTTGATGGGACTCCGCCTCATAGGATGGCAGCAGTGGGTCTATTGGTGTGGCTGAAAACTTCGTTGTATTGAAGGCACGGTTCACGATAAAAAAGGTCACGAGTTCTTCCTTCA